ATAACTTCATCAATTTCATTTAAATCACGATTTAAAAAACTCAATTGACTTCTCTTCACCGGTCATCTTGTAATAAAATTTTCTTAGTTTCATGTCAACATCCCGACAGCACAAAGGACAAAATTCAATATTCATTTCTTCCGTTAAACATACTTTTTTTTCTCGTTCATCGTTAAAAAATTATTTGAAAATATAAAACAGCGGTGTAAAAAAGTTATGTTACTGTGTTAACTTGTTGAAGCTTCACGCTATTTTAGATTTTTAGGATTCCTTTTAAGTAAAGTAAATTTTATCGTTTCTTTCTCTTTTCTTATCTTCATGTCGAATCTGTCCGAACGCACATATCCATGTATTTCATTCGAATTAGAACTATAGAATCCGTGGCATTTTCCCTGGTTATGAGGGGTAATCCATTATTAATTTTTATCATATAATTTTCCATATGATTTTCATCGGTTTCCGGAAGCATTTAATTAAGCAAAAATATAATTTAGGTGAAGGAGGTGAGATCTCACCTCTGTTGTTTCACCCCAGTTTTTCACAAGCGTTTTACACTGCAATTGTACGTATGTATGATTTGCAAATCCAAACAATTTCGTAGCTTCTATCTCTTCTGTCAGAATGTCAAAAGTTTTAACAATACGAGGTTTTCTTTATTAACTTCTTTTAGACGTCAGATTAGAAGGAAATCTTCTGCTGTTGGATTAGTTTTGTTCAGAAATTCTAAACATGTTCTTTTCTTCTGCTGGTTTCTCTGCTTCTTTCTTTAAGTCAGTATGGTCGTTTCGCATACGTTCTATCTCTTTGACGGAGTAGTTATATTTCCTTGTTGCTGCTTTACATTTTGAACATTGTGAGTTCATTTTTGCGTTATATTCTGAAATTTGTCCTGCTAGTATGACTAAGGCGTAGATGGTTTTCTTTAACTCAAAGGTTGCTGGTTTTATCTGTTGGTTCCATACCTTACCTCTTCTATCTTTATCTCTTATCTGCCATACACACTCAGCAACTAACGAAACAAAGTTGTCGTAGGTCTTAAATCTTCAGATTTATATGTCAATGTCCATGACTTTGTGGTTGTAATGAAATCCAAGAAACTCATAGTTTATCTTACGAATGAACTTCTTTATTTCAACTGAGTCGGTTGGTTTCACTTCTATTTCATCGAATTCTGGAATAGTGAGCTTTTGTTGTTGTATTTCAGGAAGTTTAGGTAAATGGTCAATAATATCTGCATTTCATAAAGATACTGTTCATTTGTTTCATCTTTTGCACTACAGTCTAAATCTCCTTGGAGAAGTTCTTGCTTTATCTTCTGGATTTCTGTTTCGAAAGTATATGAAGAAGGAATGAAGCTTTTCATCTCTACTAACATTGAAGTTGGGTTCATGACTAACGAGTTTGGTGCTGTTGTTGCAAACATGTTCTTACAATAAAAATAAAAAATATTTTTTGGTGGGACTACCTTTATTTTATTTCAGCACAAAATGAACGAGTTTGGTTTAAAAATACGGTGGAGCCAAAAATGGCTCGACCTCAAAAACAAGCATTTTGTGAAGAATATACCAACCCGCTGTTTTCCGCGGGTTGCTTTTTTTATACAAAGTTCAAGAGTTTTGTGTGTTTTCTACGAGGGTAGAAATGAGGGTAGAAATGAGGGTAGATATACCCTTCTACCCTAAAATATATTTTTTGGTGGTACGTCGGACATTGTTCTGAAACAGTACAAATATTGTTCTGAAACAGTACAAATATTGTTCTGAAACAGTACAAATATTGTTCTGAAACAGTACAAATATTGTTCTGAAACAGTACAAATATTGTTCTGAAACAGTACAAATATTGTTCTGAAACAGTACAAATATTGTTCTGAAACAGAAAATTTTTCTCTCAAATTGAGAGCTTTTACGGGAAATTTGTTCTGAAAAAGTACAAGACTAGTTCTGAAAAAGTACAAGACTAGTTCTGAAAAAGTACAAGACTAGTTCTGAAACAGAACAAGACTAGTTCTGAAACAGAACAATGGACAGCATCGAGCCATTAGATGAGGCAATTTACCTTATAGAGATAAATGAAGTTGTTAAGCAGTATTTGGGCAAGGACAAAGCCAACAAGTCCCTCGGCGTCTGGTTGTCTGGAAGAGGTGCGCTGAAAATCGAGATTTCGACTGGAATTCCAATTCAAATACCAGAAAACACTCCTGTAGACGACATAAAGGAGATGAAGAAAGAAGCTCTTCTCAAGTTCTTTGCAAAGCGCCCATGGATACAACTTCCAAACAGAGAGAGTCCAATTCCACGAATTATACAAATTCTCAGAGCACTGTTCCACTTCTCTGGTCAGCCGTTCTACATAACCTGTGAAGGCGACATCCAACCAGTTCAGTAAACATCTCATTTTAACTAACTTTTTTGCTGTCTTAAGGAAATTCATGAAAATTCAACGGGTAGAAATGAGGGTAGAAAACGGGGTAGATATACCCTTCTACCCTAAAATATATTTTTCAGTGCTTTTTCAGCACTTTTCCGTAGTTGTATATGAAAGACAATTCGGGATGAAATTTCTTCATCTGAAATAGTCCTACCAGCATTTGTAAAGATATAGTCTAACGGTTTTGTATCTGCTACTTTTGTTCTTTGTTTTTCAACCTGAAGCATTTAATATATGTAAAAATATATTGTTTTAAAAACGTTTTAAAATGGTATGCCATATAGCTTCTTGAATTTGTTAAGATATAGTCTAACGTATTTTCCATCTGCATCTCTAGCGTTTACATAAGCATAGCCTTCCTTAGTAAAACATACTTGTAATTTCCTATAGTTTACGCCGGTATAAAAGTAGAAAGAGTCTTGTTCTTCGCTATAGTAGTAAAACTCAAGCGTATGCTTGCCATAGTCTGTAATTTCAATTGTTTCATCTTCTAGTTCGTCGACAAATTCGAATACAATATCTCGAAATTTGCTTTTGTTCTTATTGTTTTCAGAACAAGTGACCCAGCGTAAGTTTTCAAGTCTATTGTCGTTTCTTATATGGTTTATATGGTCTACAAAAGGTAAATTGTTAGGGTTCGGTATAAAATGAGTTGCAATGACAATATGTTTAAAATAGCATTTCCCACCAATCCTCATCCTAGCATATCCGTCATTTCGCTCACATTCGCTTAAAACTCTTTTTGTCTTTTTGTTTCTGACTTCAAATGACTCACAACAGTGAATTTCATATTTCTCATCTAACAAACAAGTTTCCCAACGGTCTGTTCCAACAAACCCAGCGTACATTTCAAATAAAATAAAAAAAATATTTTTTTGAAAAATATACTGTTTTTTCTTTACTTAACATAACCACCAGCTACCATAAGTCTTTGACGCCAACCCATACCAGCTAATGAAGGTTGACTTGGTTTAGTTTGGAAACTAAACTTTGGTTTTGGTTTATCTTCAGTTTTTGGTTTTTCTTCTTCTATCGGTTTTTCGTCACTTTTCGGTTCCTCTGACTTTACCTCACCTGCAGGAACAGTTGTGTCGTCAACATCTTCATAAATATCATATGCCATTTGTTTTTGTTTTCCTTTCAACTTTTTGTGTTTGTTGTAAAGTTTAGAATATTTCGACTCTAAGTCAATGAGATGTTCTATAATGAACTGTTGGTCAGTGAAGTAAACTTTTCCATCTGTTGTCTCGAAAGCTCCTTCAGACTTCAATATTTTATTTGTGAGAGTCTGTTTCTTTTTTGAGATACTAGCCGTTCCATTTCTATGAAAAGTGACTTTATAGTTAGGGTTTGTATTTCCAGACCTGGCACTTTCTATTATTGAATTTTTCTCTTCATCTGTAAGTTCTTTGACGGGTTTTGACAATGGTTCTGAACTTTTTGTTTGTGGTGTCAAATCTACCGTTTCAACTTCTTCGGTCATTTCATCTCAGTAAAAAATTTTAGTTTGTTTTGTTTTCAACTGGTTGTTTAGGTTTTTTAAGTCGGTCTAAAACTTCCTGAGGTATAGGAAGAACTTGACAAACACGTGGTTGTGTAACTGCTGGAAGTCGACAAATCCATCTTGAACCCATTTGTCTCAATGCTGTATTGTTCATTTCATCTCAGTAAAAAAATTTACATTCCCCACGTTTGAGGCGGTTGCGGTTGGTTGTTGTTTACCCACTGTTGTGCATGGTTATATCCTCTGTTAAAGAATCTTTCACCTTGGTCCATATAGTGTCCTGCTTGGTTATAGTAGTCATTTGCTTTGTTATAGTAGTTTCCTGCTTCTCTTCCTACATTGTCCATCCATCCTTGAACTTTTCCTCTTGTTTCAGGATTTGGAATAAGATTTGTTGCATCTCGTGCTACCTCCCAACCTTTCTGTACAGTTTGTATAATAGGTTGTGCTTTCTCTTTCAGTATACCTAATGTACTCAAAATCTTCCTTCCAACTCCAAATACACCTCTGGCTATTGTTCCCACTGCGGGCAAAAATCTGGATGCAACTCCTGCTAATGCGCCAAATAAACCCATTTCTTATAGGGTAAAAAATGACGAATCCAAACAAGGACCCCTATGTTTCTAAAGCGACAAAGAAAGCACTCATGATAAAAATCTTTAGTTCAACACCAAATGCTTGGTTTATGGATATCTTGGAAAACATTCCGAGGTATAGAGAAGATGGACCTCCATACTGGCTAATATTTGTCGGTCAAAACACAAGATACTGTGAAGCCATACCATTACAGTCCAAAAATATTTTAGATGTGAAAACTGCTTTGACAATATTCGTTGACAATACCATCCAACAAAACTGACATCTGACTGTGAAAGTTCTTTCAAATCAGATGATATTAAAAACTATCTGCGTTCAAAAAATGTAAACCAATATTTCATTGTCGACCAAAACCATTCTGCTCTTGGTGTCATTGACAGTTGTATAAAAATCTTAAGAGACTTAAACCAACCACAAGGTGGTGAGGTAAGATGAAATGTCATATGACGACAAATATAGACACTTCTCCATGGCAAAGATGAGACAAGTTTTAAATATTTACAATAACCGTAAACAAAAAGGTTTGGGAAACCACTCCCCCGAAGAAATGAAAAACAACCCTGACTTAGAGAAAGACTATATATTTAATAGTTTAGTCAAAAGAGACAAACAAGAAAGAATGCCAGGCTTCAAACTTAAGAAAGGTGACAAAGTAAAAATAGAAATACCTAAACGCGACCCATATGAAAATACTATTGACTATGACAACAATGGGAACCCGACAGGTACTCGCATTCGTGTTCGTAAAAATAGAAGAAAGTATACAAGAGAATATTATGAAGTTTTAGGCAAACATGGCAAAATGTACACACTGCAAGCAGAAGATAAAACTACTATTGTCAGACCTCGTTTCAAACTTGTCAAAGTTCAAGGTGGTATACTTTCAAAGACAGTTCCTAACAAATATAAGACAACTCCTGACGAATATGCTAAAGAAGTTGAAAATGACGACTAAGCATTTCTATACCATGCGTAAACTGTCATGTAAGGTGGCATGTAGTCTTTACTTTGTCCCGTTGTTTGCGTATATCCCGAAACGCGATGTGTATGGTTTCCTCCTCCCTCAGTGTTACTCCAGTAACAATTTATAGCAAACTTAACGTTGTCTTTAACATCATATCCTTTACCTTTTGTCATTCCTGACCAATCCCAATATCTATGCTTATGCCAACCTGCTTGAGATGTACTTAAATCTATGTAGTGACTGTGTGCAGGTAAATTTTCACCTGAAATCGTTTTACTTCCACCTGTTTCCTTTGAAGAGTTTGCACAATACAAAAACCTGTCGACTATTTGAGTCCAAGTTCCAAAACCAAGTACTACTTCTGGTCTGGTAGAGTTCATTGACGTATAAATAGAACCTATAGGATATACTGTTTGAAGTATTTCTGTCTTTAATGTTTGAAGCTCTGTTTTGTCTGCTTTTTTATATAACTTTTCTTCAAGTTCATTTACGTCAGAGATGCTATGTCTATGATATTTTTGTGGGTATGTTCCTTCTGTCCATGCGAAAATACGTTCTTTTGTTGCATCTACATATCCTTTTATCCATGTCGAGTCTGCTTTTGTATTCCTTAACTCTGTAACACCTTTCTCAAGCTCTTTCAACTGTTGTCCATCTTCCATTAAACCTCTGGTATGACTTGAAACCGTTTGTGCCAACATATCTACAGTTTCTTTGTCGGCTTTAAGGTCTAAACACCTGAAACCCATCCTGTATCAGCTTTCGTTTTTAAAATCTTCGATGTCCGTTCATTATACCATTCAACCCTTTCTTTAATTTCATTGTTTTTTCATCCACATATTCCTTATCTGCCTTCTTTCACTAACGCACTAGCCACGCATGCTAACTCATCGTTAACATATGTTTTGTCAGCTTTCTTTTCAACATCCTCTTTTGTTGCATATGTTGCATCTGCTCTGTCATGTTCTTCTTGAACTTTTTCAATGACATACTCTTTGTCAGCTTTGTTGTCAACATCTGCTTTCAAAAGAAGTTCATTTATAGGTTTCTCGTTTAAAGTTCCTTTTGTTGGATTTATACAGACAGTATGGTTCTTATTGTCTTGAAACAGAAACTCATCTGTCATTGGGTTTAATGTCAGTTTTAAGTTTCCTTCTTTCAATGACTCAGATATCTTAGAATAGTTTGAAAAGTTGTTGTGTTCTTATTTAGAGCTTGCATAATGAGTTGTCGGTTGTGTTGTATTTCTCTCATAGACGCTGTTTCATTTGACATTTTTATTATAGATAAAATATGCTTCCAATAGAAAAAGAAATTCAAGAGTTGCTACAACTAAACCATTAGATGAACTTTTTACTAATGTCGGTCAAAAGTTTGAGACAGAGACCGTAAAGCATGAAGGCTATCGTTTTGACTACCCATTAAGATGGCTCAGAGACCCATCTGTCACAAAAGCTATTGGCTTTCGTAGAATGAAGTTTGTGTCTGTAGAAGATAAAAGTTTTCCATTTATTGTAAGGTTTCATATAGATTATATATCTGAAGGGAAACGAAAAATGTGGGAAGAAATTGAGCTAATACAAGTTGACCTTTCATCTTCTCTACAGACTGCGTTAAAAAATATAGAAGATAAAATAAATTCATGTTATGCAAATATGCTGATGAATATGCAAATACCGAGAGCACACTTTATGTGAGAATTGTATATGACAAACAAAATTCACAAGTGTCATTTCAAATCTACGAAGACAATCCAAAGAAAGACGAACAAATATATACAGAATTCACTGCAATGTCATGGTATTATTTGCAAAGAATGTTAAATCAGAAAGTCGAACTTCCTTTAGCAAATATTTACAGTCGATATGCAAGAGATGAACCATATTTATTTAAAGATGTTTTCGACCCAGCTGCTATTATTGTTCATGCTTCATTTTCTGGCGCACAAAACTCTTTCTTATGCTTGGCAAATGACTTTTACGAAAAACCTACAAAGTTATATGAACCACCAAGTGGAAGTATTTCAGACTTTCAAGTATGGTTACTACAGATGGAAGAAAGAGAATAATTCCATTATACCATGCGTTTTACTTAGAACTTAGTTTCATATACAACTACTATCGAACGGTAAAAATATAATTTTTAATACGGTTGAGGTGTTGGATTGGTTGCCAACTAGACTGTGGTGCAGGTTCAGGCTGTTGTATAACAGGAAGCTTGTTCTTCTGGTTCAGGGTCTTTAGGTATAATACCAACGAACTGACCTACTCTTTTACCAATATTTTTGACTCCGTTCCAAATTCCTCTTCCTACGGTTTTTATTCCATTCCATATACCTCTTCCACATTTCGAAAGAAGTTTCCTATCTTACTGAAGAAACCCATTTTACTATATGTAAAAATCTAATGTCCGCCTAGTCTCTTACGTTTCCTGTTGAGTTCCATAGCATTCTTTAACTGGAGCTCATACATTCTGTTTCTCTCTGGTAGAAAAAACATACTCTGGGTCAACTCCTGTGTTCGCGTATCTGCATAAAGTTGTTTATATCCCACTTCAGGGTTTGTAAAACTCTTTCCATCTCATATTTGCATACCATGGTGGCAAACCTAACGCAGCGTCATTTGACATGGCAGTTTGCATTTGTACATCTGTTGGCACTTGACCATAGTTTGCATCGCAGTTTGTATTCTAACTTCATTTGGAATATTCTCTGGGTTTGGTTGTCCAGGTTGCTGTGCATTCGCTAAGTTCTGTGCGTCCATTTAATATTAGATAAAAATATCTCTTACGAGTACATATACTGAACATTTGCAGGCATTGGTTCATCTTCATATTCTCTATATCTTTCTGCCACGTCAAATAAGTAAATGACACAATGGAAAAAAACCTAAAACAAGTAGTCCTATTTCAAACCACATTTACTTACTAGTAAAATTTCTTTGTTATGACACTTTCTCCAGTTTATAGGACCTCTCTCATATTCTATCTTATCGTATCTAAACTCATAGTCATGTATGTCCTCTAACCATCTCATGACACTTTCCAAACCACTTTTATCGGATGTAAAGTAAAAGCATGGATGGTTATGTAAAACGTCTAAAGTTTCTAAAGAGTCTCTCAAAGTCCAGTCTACTTGTATTGAAAATCGTATGTGTTATAGAACGGCGGGTCTACTATAAAGAAAACATTTTCCTTGTCTTTATATTTTTCATACAACTCTGTCCAATGACATCTCACAAACTCTATACCCTCAGTATATTTTTCTATGTCCTCTTTGAAAACCTTTGTATAGTTAAGATATAAAACTTTTGACATAAGTGTTTCAATGTCATGAACTCTTATAGAACCACTATACAATAGTCTAGAAGATATACTATCCCAGTCAATATACTCTGCTTTTTTCAAAACCTCTCTGACAGTATTTTTCTTATCTAATGGTATACGTTCCATCTTACCTATAGGTATCTTTTCTTTTAACTCACTCAATATTTTGTTAGTGTCTGGTATATGTTTGAGACGGTCCATATAGTTGTCGAAGTCATTGCATATAATCTTTGAGTCTGGGAATATTGTATGGCACAAATGGGATATATAGAAACTTCCACCGAACAAGTCTACAAATGTTAGACCATTCGGTAGTTTCTTAAGTTCTCTCAATAGAATATCTTTACATCTACTCTTATTTCCAAAGAAGGGTAGTGGTGGTTTTGTAAAATTCATTTTATATATATAATAAAAATGTTTTTTTCCTGAAAAGTGACAGATGTTTTATTGAGACTTCTTCGTAAAGACTTTGTTGAGACTTCTTCGTAAATGAGTGTAAATGACCCTAAAATATATTTTAGGGTAGAAGGGTATATCTACCCCGTTTTCTACCCTCTTTTCTACCCTCTTGAATTTTCATGAATTTCTTCGTAAAGACTTTGTCAAGACTTCTTCGTAAAGACTTTGTTAAGACTTCTTCGTAAAGACTTTGTTGAGACTTCTTCGTAAAACTTTGTTGAGACTTCTTCGTAAAGACTTTGTCAAGACTTCATCGTAAAGACTTTGTTGAGATTTCTTCGTAAATGACCCTAGTAGTATATTTTTGGTGTAAATTTCATGAAAATTCAAGAGGGTAGAAATGAGGGTAGAAAACGGGTAGATATACCCTTCTACCCTAAAATATTTTTGTGTAAATTTCATGAAAATTCAAGAGGGTAGAAATGAGGGTAGAAAACGGGGTAGATATACCCTTCTACCCTAAAATATATTTTTGGTGTAAATTTCATGAAAATTCAAGAGGGTAGAAATGAGGGTAGAAAACGGGGTAGATATACCCTTCTACCCTAAAATATATTTTTGTCTGATTTACACTCATTGTCTATGTTTTGTAAAGACTTGTCAAGACTTCTTCGTAAAGACTTTCTTGTCTATGTTTTGTAAAGACTTTGTAAAGTTCTTCATCGTAAAGACTTTGTAAAGACTTTCTTGTCTATGTTTTGTCAAGACTTCTTCGTAAAGACTTTGTAAAGACTTTTGTAAAGACTTCTTTGTAAATGTTTTGTCAAGACTTCTTCGTAAAGACTTTGTTGAGACTTCTTCGTAAAGACTTTGTTGAGACTTCATTTATACTCATTCATCCTCAGGCTAGAAGGCACGAAGTGCCTGGAAGCCCCACTACCTTTTTTTTTTTTTTTTTTTTTTTTTTTTTTTTTTTTTTTTTATTTTTCATATGTATAAATCATATAATCTATATCTATGCAAATCTCATCTAAATTTTTTTGAACAAACCGCTACCATTTTATAATGGTCCATCTTAAATTCATCATAAATTCTGGTACATGTTAGTACCAGAATCTTCAAATCTCAAACACTCTGGTACCAACATGTACCAGACGCGAGTTTCCAATGCCCTCGTACGATTTTCTTTAAGATCTTCTTGAATGAGAAGGTCTTCATAGAAACTCGTACGAGGGCTTCTCTTTAAGTACTCTGGTACCTGCTGGTAT